CAAGGGGGGGGGGGGGGGGGGAGGAGGCAGCAGACCACCTTAACTTCGGGGGTAACCACTTCTTCCTCTTTTCCCTTCCTATATGTTATTCAACGGACGAGGACCTATATAAATTTGATGGTAGGTACTATTACACTAGTGGATACAGGATTTGGGATGAGGGGGCACTGGTATAGAAAATTTGCCTCGTAGTTGCATGTGGACAATGTCACTGTAATTTGCAGGGCACAATGATAAAAATGTGTGGTTTGGCCTCCTTTTGCTAGCTATACACAGAGAACAAACCATGCAATTTTTTAAATCCCAGTTTCACGCATATTATCGTAAAATTAACATCTTTATTCTTGAATATTTGCCTCGATTCGGTCAGGTTTTCCCCTTATCTTTGTGCACTGTCTTGGCATAGTGCTGGATCTGCCTGGGTTATGTTGTTTCCTCCTGTACTCTGCTTGTCGTGAAAAGAAACTAAACGGTTAATTAATCAGACAATAAATCCTCACACTGCACCTGCGATTGTTGCGTTTTGTAAAAATGTCCTGCTGAAAAGTCATATGGCGAAGGTTGCGATTTGTAAAAATGCCCAGCTGAAAAGTAATACAAGCTAATTAAGCTTTGACAAATTTGCCTTTAGAAACCTACGTCTACATCCTGACGTATTCAATTTACCATCAGAAATCAAAATGAAAATATATGAAAAAAAAAAAAAAAAAAAAAAAAAAAAAAAAAAAAAAAAAATCGAAACTATTTTGCTGCAATCTTAGAAAAGTTACAAGGAGAAAAGCACAAAGGAATTGACTTACCAGTGTCTGTTCAGCTAAGTTTAAATACTCCTATCTGTGATATTAATACCTGTGCGTATGCAGTATATAACACGTTACCACCTTGAATCTGTTACTTATTAACTACTGTTATATCAACGTTACAGGATACATGTACGTCAAGGCTAAAAATCCCCATTTTATTGTTACGATAAGATGTATAAATTAGATGTAAAATATTCTTATATTTTGGTTGAGATCAAAATAGCATCTAGGATGTGCAACAAAAGTATAAAAGGGTAAGAAGGAAATCAAATCGTTAAAATGAATAAATTATGATAGAAGTCATCTATATGATATGACAGTTCACTGCGAAGAATAACAAAATATTTTTCACCTCAGCATAACAGGAGAGTGGATGCGATTCTAATTTTATTGAAAAACAACTTGTGTTTTGATAGATGTAATTAAGTTCGATAGGATTGATTAGCTATAGGCTATAAGATTTTTCGCAACTTGCTTTGGAGAGGTTATGACTATTTTTAAGAGAAAATCAAATGCATTGTGTGCGTTAGACCATTTTTAACATTTAGGCCTATACATACAACCTTCGCTATATTACTTTTCAGCAGGACTACAATTAGAAAAGGCAAGACCATCTGTGATGCAAATTAAGAAGCGTATTTACACACATAAAGCAACAAATAATTAGGAACCCCTGTCCATTGTGTCCAGGTCATGAACACCTATAATAAAATCAAATGTTCCTGTAGAACTTAGTCAGACTTCAGATCATATCTACTCTAGAGTAAAATGTTTTAATTTAACACTTAACTTTTGATATCTTGTCTGAGAATATTAATCTTAAAAGATCATGCCTGAGACTGGCAACTACAGTAGATAGTGAGTGAACATGGATTCTTAATACTATGAAATAAACTACTGGGTAGAATAATAATTCTTTACTTTATGTAATATACAATATAATGTCTGATGGTAACTCTTCTTTATCTAAGATTTACTTTAAGTTACTGATTCTCTCCCTTTCGTCCGCCTCCTATTTTTATAAGCCTCCTGGGTATTTCTAATGTATTTAAGACTTGTGGTAAATGTAATCATCAGAAGACGAAAGATCAAAATTAGAATCTGGTCAGATCCGTGCGTAAATATTTTGATTTCGCTTCGCCAAAGTGATAAAAAGTGATAAAAATAGCATTATTTTATGGAGGTGAATCAGCCGCAATCCCATATATACGATCCCATAACAAGTTTATTACAAGACTCAACAATTTTGCTTAACACTTCCCCTTGTAAACATATGGGGCTGTTGGAGGCGAGAAGCAGCCTGCTCGAACGCGTTGTGTCCTTCCTTGCAGTAACGTGTGATTATTTAAAATAGGCCTATTAAGTAATAATCCAAATAACAAATAACGTTTTCACGACGTTATCAGCTGGTTACATGATGGTGATGGTATAGAATAACGTCATGGTAACGTTATGGGTGTTTTTAACTCCATGCAAAATGATGCCCTTGCAGTTTTATAAGCGTTTTATAACATTCTGGAAAAACATTATTTAATGTTTTGAAAACTTTTTTATTAATCACCAAAACANCTGCTAAACATATGGAGCTGCTATAGGTGTGGAATTCCTTAACGCGTGGAGCTGCTAAACAACATGTTTAGCTTTTCAAGCTCGTCACAGAAAAAAATGCTTCACAATCCCATATATACGATCCCATAACAAGTTTATTACAAGACTCAACAATTTTGCTTAACACTTCCCCTTGTAAACATATGGGGCTGTTGGAGGCGAGAAGCAGCCTGCTCGAACGCGTTGTGTCCTTCCTTGCAGTAACGTGTGATTATTTAAAATAGGCCTATTAAGTAATAATCCAAATAACAAATAACGTTTTCACGACGTTATCAGCTGGTTACATGATGGTGATGGTATAGAATAACGTCATGGTAACGTTATGGGTGTTTTTAACTCCATGCAAAATGATGCCCTTGCAGTTTTATAAGCGTTTTATAACATTCTGGAAAAACATTATTTAATGTTTTGAAAACTTTTTTATTAATCACCAAAACACGTCTTATGCTGTATGAACTACAGTTAGCGGTTAATTCCAAAATGGGCTTGGGTTAGCGCGGTGACAAATATTCGGACTATCGTTACCAAAATAACCAGCATGTGATGAAAGCTTAAATAAACCATTATAATGAATACCCCACCATCATCCTGATGTTCTATTGTTCATTACTTCCGGAAAAAATAAATGAACATCAATACCTTAATGTATTTTATCAAAATATGAAAAAAATGTTTTAAAGTAAAACTGATAGTTGTTTCTTGTCTTTAGTAAAGTAGTGAATTTTCCTAACTTGTTTTTCAGAAATATATTCCAATTAACTTCCTCGCAAGGTCAGGTAACACAAGGATGAATAAGTCCCGCTGTAAAGTTGATGGTGTGAATCAACTATGTCGACAGTTCACGGTACCCTGTTATAGATAGAGATAGCTATAGCAGTTAAAGGTGACCGTGACTTCGCGCGCGCGCGTGTGTGTGTGTATGTGTGTGTGAGAGAGAGAGAATGACAGGTTAAAAAGGTTACAATCTTAAAGTTAAACAAATACACCCTACATTTATCAGGCGTCAAGCACGTCAAAGCGTGTAACATATTAATAGGCTAAACGCGTGGAAAAAATGAGACAAAACAGGCGCTTAGAAATGTGTCTCAGAGCTAAACACTGTTTTTACAGTGTATACGTAAATGAGGGAGGCAAATGTCATATCTTAATAGGCAGAAATTACTGCTACTTATAACAGTTTTCCTATCTGCTTCTGCATTCTGTCAGTTATTGTGCGGTATGAACTTTTCAATGCAGTAAGGTGGGAGGAGTGGGACGGGTAACAGGCACCACTTCTTGCACAGGGGTACACACGTGTCCTTCTCACACCACAAAAACAACATACCGAATGAAATGTGAAAAAACGAAGTAATTTTTACATCCATATTTCCTAAATATTTTAGTAAAAATTTCGCCCGGTTGGCTCGGATTTTTTTATTTTGTTCCCCTTGTCTTACCAATGTTAAAGATCCTCCAAGGTTATGGCATTTCCTTTTAATGCACTTTATGCGTTATGTAATAAACTGCGGATTCTATTTAGGATTGTTTGTTTTTTCGATGGGAAAAATTATGAAAAATTAGACAAATTACTTGGGTTTTATCATTTCTAAACCAAAATTCACATCCATTAAAACTGCAGACCAAACCGATAGGAAACAATAACATATTTCAATTTTCTAACGATATTAAGATATTAAACTTTTAAAAAATAAAAGAAAAACCAAAAGTCGAAACTACTTAGCTAATTTAATGCAATTTTAAAAAGAGCTCAAGGAGGAAAACAAAGAAATTATACCTGCAGTATTTGTTGAAGTGGCGGATGTAGGTTTGAATAATGATACCATTGATTTCTTAGCCTGTTCTTTTACAATACCCGGTATATGAGACATTACCATCTTTAATCTGTTACTTATTAACTACTAAAATGTCAGCGTTATACAATACGTCAGCGATGAAAATTCCCATCTTATTGTTTCAATAGGATGTCCAAATGGAAGTGGATACCAAAATATTTTAATATTTTGGTTGAGATCAAAATAGCGTTTTAAGATGGGTAACATTTGTATAAAAGCGTAAGAAGTAAATCCGATCGCTAATTTGATGAGTTTAAAGTTTAAAGTTTAAATCGTCTACCATACGACAGCGCATTGCAAAAAAAAAAAAAAAAAAAAAAAAAAAAAAAAAAAAAAAAAAAAAAAAATGTTTTTCAAACTCAGCATAACAGGTGAGTGAGCTTTTCTTCCGATTTTATCGAAGAAATTGAATGATAAATTGGGTTTTGATAAATGCAGGGCTCGATTATTAGATTCGATAGGATCGATCAGCTTTTGGGATTAATTTTGCAACTTTAAGTCAGTTTGTGGCATTTGGACTAACTGACAATAGTTTTAATTAGACAAATTTAATCGCAAAACTTTGTTAACATGTCTGACTTTTTTCTTAGGAAATTTTGCCATCATATTTGCCTTGGCGGGTGTTAGATCAGGCACTACATTCCGACCCCTACCAACTGCTGACAATATCCCAAACCTAAACTGGCATTATCTTGCACGGACCAATAGTCCATTGGTAACTAACTTCGATTCTTCCTGCCAAGGAAACGTTGACTACATGGACCCGACATTGATGGCATTTTTGAAAGGGAATCTCACCCGACTGATCAGGTCCCAGATAAATTTGTACACTGTGACACAGAGCAGTTACCAAACTTACGTGAGTGAACATGGATTCTTAATTCTGTGAATTATCAACTACAGGGTAGAATAGTAATGCTAAATGTTATATACAATATGTCGTCTGATGGTGGCTTAAATTGACACCTACATATACTTACTGATTCTATCACTTTCATCTCCCTCCTAATTTTACATGACAGTAAGGATTACTGGCTATTTCTAATGTATTTCAGACTTGATGTAGGCCTAAATGTAATCCTCAGAAGGCTAAAGATTCAAATAAGAATCTGGTCAGATCCGTGCGTAGGTATTTTGATTTCGCTTCGACAAATTGTGACAACAGTATCATTTTATGCAGGTGAACCAGCCACGAGTTGCACCTTATACAAATATCGACCCCAAAACTGCGGATCCTGGCAAATTAGGAGGCTGGTACTTTCCTAGGGACACGTGTGCCAAGCTCTTCATTCAAACACAGACAAAATACTTGGAAGGAGAAGTGAAAGCTCTTGCGGTAAATTCTAAGGACCATGTATTAGCCGTTTCTTTTGTATGATTTCGTAATGTACATTATTTCAATATAATCATTGAAACTTTTAAGGATTTATAACATGCAATGGTAGGAATTGTGTATATGCTTCAAAATATTTAAACTTTGTTTCTATAAAATGACATTTTATTTTAGGTGGCTTTGAACAGTTTTCACCATGATCTTACCGCTTACAAGTTAGTTCTCGGCAATGTGTCTATGCTGGAGTATCGTCGACTGTGTAACTCCAAATCTGGCTGTCCCACCGACAACTACCAGTGTGGCACAATCAATGACGACAACAGCTTTTACTGCACCAGTCTTGGTGACGTCATGAAAAGTGTGAACGATTCCATGTTTTTTCTTCGAAGAACGGTGAGTAGAATGATAAAGAGAAAAAATATTTTATGGAAGAAGTAACGACGAAGAGTTGTAATATAAATTGGAACAAGGATAAAATGTGAGCATTTAGACAGCAGTTTTTTATGTCACTATCAAAGAAGCACATGCACTGTGCTATAACGTGTTATAACGATTTGTTAAATATTGAAATGAAACATGGAAATTATGAGAATTGTACGTAAAAGAGTCATCAAGTATCACTTAACTATGGTTTTATTCACCAACTAATGTAAAATAAGTGTAAAAATAAAAATCCTTAACTGATATAGGCCTACGTTATAAATCTTTTCTCTTATTTTGCAGCTGTCCAACTTTAACACAGAAATCGCCGGTAACCACTCCCTCGCACTTCAGGTGAAGTTTGTCAGACCACAAAAGCTATCAGACTTTGTCACTTCAGTCTATACTCAACTGGCACTATATAACCTTCAAGAAATTACGGAAGAATTTAAAGACTGCATGTTAGCATTTTTCCATGTTTTTTCGGTCAACAACTCAGACATTTCTCTATTTTAATCGCAAGTGAGTCTAAATTTCAAAGATGTATTTTTACTTTGGTAGCACTAGGCATTTTGCAACTCATTGCGGTTCTTTATTTATAAATTCGATGACAAACAGAAACAGATGTTTTGCTCTAGACATGATATCTATTTTACTTTTTGATTATTTTATAGTTTGAATTTTTGGTTTAAGACTTTTTATACCTACTTTTTATACTTTTATACACTAACTTTTTTATTTTATATAAGTTTTTATAACTTTTACGTATTTGTCAAGAAGAGGTTAGGATTATCAGGTATAATGCTCTAGGCTTTTAATGGACCATATATAGTATAAGATATAGTACAAATGTACCACCAGCTAGATTTTTGAAGTTTATTCTAACTGAAAAGGGCAATTCGATGTATCTTAAAATTTTTATGCACATATTACTAACAATTACACTATACTGTGCGTTCTTTGTCTGTTTAACACTGTTGTTTAAGTTGAAAACAAGTTTTTAAATCAGCTGTCTACTAAAATATAAAATTCAGGAGATTATAGAAAAGGATTTCTCCTGTGAACAAGCACATTGAAATTGAAATTTTGAAGAGTGACATATTTTTGTGAAATTGGAGCACTTTATTTAAGCAATTGATGCACTAAAATAAATAATAAAGAAAGGTCTATGACAGGCCATAATTCATTCTGAATTACGTTTTGTCTTGCACTATATCCCAAAGCCCAGTTTGTATTTAGGAGCTGCACATTACCCCTTTCTCCCAATTTTGCACCTATTAGTGTAGTTAACTGTAAAAACAATGTTGGTTACAGGGGAAGGCACATCGGGTACCTGCTCTCCCGGCACCCCCCAGCTTCTTAGGCATCCGCTTTTATCCCGTTTCCATCCCCCCCCTTCATGATTGTGCCTGACATAGCATATTACAAAATTATTCTCATCTAATTTACCCAGTGCAATGAAATTTTCCCTTATCCCTTTGTCCTTCCATCATTTAGCGAAATCCTGCGTACGCCAGTGTTATTCCATCAATTGAACATAGTACCCGCCCTTTTGTTGCATCATGTACATAATTGATACAAGAGTAAAACATGGTCTTCTCATCTCTAAATAGCAGAATTTACTGCTACTCCTGCCTGTTTTCCTACCTGTTTGAATATTCTATCAATCATTCTATGGCAAGAAATTTTCACTGAAGTAAAGATATTGGAATACTGAGGAGGGGGGGGGGGGTAGCATGCAACTACTTCGTTGTAAGTTTCGAAGGTATCACACTTCTCACGCTTACGGAATGCGGGACAATTAAAAAAAAAACAATAAATTTTCTTTACCATTCAATCCATTCCATATCGTAGTAAAAATTTCGTTCAGTTTTGTATATTTGTTTCACATTGCTCGGATATTTCATCCTTATACCCCTGTCCAAGCAAACTCCTTGATCCGCCAAGGTTATATGATGTGTATACTCTGCACATTATGTAAAAAGAAATTTAATTAAAATTCGCTTGGCGAGTAATCCTTGAGTAGCATTTTCCATCAATTCGTCGTGTTTTTTAAGTACAAGTAAAAAATTATGACAAGCCAAATTTGAATCTCAATCTAGTTTTCTGTCTTGCACTATACATGAAAGTCTCATTTACGTAAATAAATGACTAAAGTGCTACAAACTTGTTCATTTCATCTTTCATCGAACAGAAATTACTGCCACCTGTGACAGTTATTCTATCTGCGTCTGTATTCCATTAATTGTTGTACGGTATGAACTTTATAATGCATCGGCGGGGGGAGGGGGTGGGCAGCAAGAATTACTTCTTAATTAGGGGTCCATGCGTCTCCTTCTCCCTCCCTTAAAACAAAATTCCGAAATGTAACGTGATAAACGAACTTATTTTTCCATCCATATTTCCTAAATATAATAGTAAAAATTTCGTCTGCTTCGCTCTGATTTTTTATCTTGTTCCCCTTATCTTAGCTAAGTAGAAGATCCGCCAAAGTTATGGTATTCTTTTAAATGTACGTTGTGAGTTAAGTATTAAACTACAGATTCTATTTGCGATTGTTTTTTTTTACGTACATGAGAAAAATTATGAAAAAATTTGACAAATTACTTGGGTTTTATCATTTGCAAGCCTAAATTCAAATCTGTCAAAACTGCATATCAAACCGAAATGAAACAATGACGTATCTCAATTTTCTTAAGATATTAAAATTTTGAAAATGAAAAATAAATAAATAAATAAATAAATAAAACCATAAGTCGAAACTATTTTGCCTATTTACTGCAATTTTAAAAAGAGCTCAAGAAGGAAAACAAAGAGATTTTACTTGCGGTATTTGTTCAGCTAAAGTGGCGGAAGTAGGCATGAATACTGATATCAATGATTTCTTAGCCTGTCCCTTTACAATACATTACGATCTTTAAACCGTGACTTATAAACTTATTATAATACGTCAGCGTTGGAAATTCCCATCTTATTGTTTCGGAGGTATCTAAATAAGATGGTAAGTGGATACCCAAAATATTCTAATATTTTTGTTGAGATCAAAATAGCGTCTTAAGATGGGTAACAATTGTATAAAAGCGTACGAAGAAAATCTGATCGTTAATTTGATACAAGTTTAAATCACCTACAATACGACAGCACATTGCAAAGAAAATGGATTTCAAACTCAGCCTAACAGGTGAGTGAATATTGAAGAAATTGAATGATGAATTGGTTTTTGATAAATGCAGGGATCCATAACTGGATTCGCTAAAATCAATCAGGTCATAAGATTACTTTGCATCTTAAATTTAAGTGAGTCTGTGGCATTAAGACCAACAGACAAAAGTTTTAATTGACAAATTTTAATCTCAAAACTTTGATATTTTGTCTGATTGTCTTCCTAGGAACTGCTGCCTTTTTATTTGCTTTGGCGATTGTTGAATCAAGCACAACAATCCACCCCCTACCGACTGCTGACCATATGTCAAACTTAAACTGGCATTTTCCTGCCCGGACCAATGGTCCATTGGTAACTAGCCTTGATTTTTCCTGCCAAAGACCCGTCCACTACATGAACCCGTCGTTAATGGAGTTTCTTAAAGGGAATCTCACCCGGCTGATCAGGTCCCAGATAAATTTGTACACTGTGACACAGAGCAGCTACCAAACTTACGTGAGTGAACATTGATTCTAAATACTGTGAATTATTAACTACAGGGTAGAAAAGTAATGCTTTATGCATATACAATATAGTGTCCGACTGTAAGTCTTGGTTACCTTAAACTGACACTTACATGTACTGATTTGATCACTCGTCTCCCTTCTATTTTTACAAGACAGTAAAATTCACCGAATATTTCTCATGTATTTTAGTCATTCTCAGAAAGCAAATTATCCACATTAGAATATGAACAGATCTGTGCTTAAATATTTTGATTTGAATTCGACAAATCGAGACAACAGTATCATTTTATGCAGGTGAACCAGCCACGAGTTGCACCTTATACAAATATCGACCCCAAAACTGCGGATCCTGGCAAATTAGGAGGCTGGTACTTTCCTAGAAACACGTGTGCCAAGCTCTTCATTCAAACAAAGACAAAATACTTGGAAGGAGAAGTAGAAGCTCTTGCAGTAAGTTTTTAGGACTACCTGTTTTTACTTTTATATTTTGCAATCTGTACCTTATTCAAATAAATGCCTGAATTAAATTTTATTTGAAAATGTCTAAATATGCAATGGTAGCTGTTATTATGTAACGTTTTAGTACCTGATGTAACTCTCAGATCTTTACTTGGAAAATTGATAACGCCCAGAAGATAGTAGGCCTAAGTCTTTATACATTTTATGCTTTAAGTTTTGAACTTACAGTAACTATAAAATGCCTTTTTTGTTTTAGGTGGCTTTGAACAGTTTTCACCATGATCTTACCGCTTACAAGTTAGTTCTTGGCAATGTGTCTATGCTGGAGTATCGTCGACTGTGTAACTCCAAATCTGGCTGTCCCACCGACAACTACCAGTGTGGCACAATCAATGACGACAACAGCTTTTACTGCACCAGTCTTGGTGACGTCATGAAAAGTGTGAACGATACTATGTTTTTTCTTCGAAGAACGGTGAGTAGAATGATAAAGAGAAAAAATATTTTAAGTTTTAATATAAATTGAAATAAGGATAAAATGTAAGCAAATAGATAACGTAGTTTTATAAGTCAGTATGAAGAAACAAGTGCACTGTGTGCTGCTACGCATTAATTTGAATAGTTTTATATTGAAATGATACATGAAAATGATGAGAATTGTACGAAAAAGAGTCGTCAAGTATCACGTAACTAAGGTTTTATTCACCAACTAATGTAAAAAAGTGTAAGAACAAAAACCCTTAACTGATATACTTTATAAATTTTTTTCTCCTATTTTGCAGCTGTCCAACTTTAACACAGAAATCGCCGGTAACCACTCCCTCGCACTTCAGGTGAAGTTTGTCAGACCACAAAAGCTATCAGACTTTGTCACTTCAGTCTATACTCAACTGGCACTGTATAACCTTCAAGAAGTTACGGAAGAATTTAAAGACTGCATGTTGGCATTTTTCCATATTTTTTCGGTCAACAACTCAGACATTTTTCTTTTCTAATCACAAGCGAGTCGAAATTTCAAAGACGTATTTTGACTTTGGTAGCACTAGGCATTTTGCAGCTCGTTACGGATCTTTATTTATAAATTCGATGACATACAGAAACGGATGGTCTACTCTAGAGATATCAAATCTCTTTTATTTTTGATTATTTTATAGTTTGAATTTTTGGTTTAAGACTTTTTATACTTACTTTTTATACTTTTATACACTAACTTTGTTTATTTTATATAAGTTTTTATAACTTTTACGTATTTGTCAAGAAAAGGTGAAGATTATCAGGCTTAATACTCTAGGCTTTTTGTGGACCATATATAGTATAAGATATAGTACAAACGTACCACCAGCTAGATTTTTGAAGTTTATTCTATCAGAAAAGGGCAATTCGATGTT